GATCACTTTATGAAAAAAAAAAAAAAAAAAAAAAAGTGGTATACAGTATAAGGAGCAGATGCACTAATGCAACATAAGGCAGAAACAAGCTTTGTTGGGGATGTTCCAACATTTCTACACAAGATTCCACAGCATACAAAAATTGCCTCATGTGAATGATTTTTTTTTTAACTGCAACCTCTCTGCATGATCTGAAAATGCTACTGTGGACATGAATTTCAAAGGCCACCCAACAAGCAATGCTCAACTCTATATTCTTCACAGAGAGGCATACGAATAGCACATTTCAGTTTTAACAGACTAATAAATGGTTACCACAAAAATAAAGCTGAGACCTCCAAGCAGTTTTCCTAATAATCACATTCCTTGACCAAAAAACACTAAATAAAATATCATTTTCAGAAAAAGACATTTACTTTTGAGACTTTCATTTTTTCATTATATCACTGCAAACGACAAAGGACAATCAAGAATCCTTTCTTTTASAAATCAATAGCATCCTACATTTTGTAATAAGCTAAGACTAATTTGTTAAATTAAATCTGGAAAACCCTGAAATTATTTGAGAAGGACTTGGAGGACTTCTGGCAAATTGGAAAAGTTCTTGGCAAGTACTTTGGTGACTGGTTTGAACCTCTATATAGTTATTAGAATGCTGTCTGCAAAACTTTTTTCTCATTTCTTTCAGAACTTTTGGAGCAATTGAACATTTCTAAAATAAAGTTTCACTTGAAGCAATAATTACAATGAAGGATATGCATAAGAAATAATAATGCTGATGAAGTTAAAAGAAAATTTGATTTCTTTATACGCATTCTAAGAGCGAGCTCAGAAAGCAAATGTCAAGATGCAATGCAATTTTGAATTAACAAACACCGCCACCATGTGTCTGCTTCAAAGACTATCAAGCTGCTTAAAAACAGCGAGAAGACAGGCCACAAATGATAAAGTAAATCAATTTTGTTACTCTGTTACTATAAAACCTTTCTGTATAATACAATGATAATGAAACCCAAAAGGTTGCATTTGAAGTTCTAAACACGTCAGTCACATGTATGATATTCCTATGAGAATGCACAATACTGACAGGGAAGGTCCCAGACAACTGGAGAGTTGTCAATATGACACCCATCTACCAGAAGGATTGGATAGAGGATCTGAGGAACTACAGGCCTGTCAGCCTGATTTTGGTATCGGGGAAAGTTATGGAGCAGATCATCTTGAAGGGGATCACATAGCAAGTGTGTGACAACCAGGGGTTCAAGAAAGGTAGGTTCTTCCTCACCAACCTGATCTCCTTCTGTGACTAGGTGACCTGTCTAGTGGATGAGGGAAAGGCTGTGAATGTGCTCTACTTAGACTTCAGTAAGGCCTTTGATACAGTCTCCCACTGCCTTCTCCTGGAGAAGCTGGCATCTCATGGCTTAGAACTCTTTGCTAGGTGAGAAACTGGCTGGATGGCTGAGCCCAGAGAGTGGTGGTGAATGGAGTTAAATCCAGATGGCAATCGGTCACGAGAAGTGTTTCCCAGGGGTCAGTGTTGGGGCTGGTCCTCTTTGATATCTTTATCAACCATCTAGATAAGGGGATTGAGTGCACCCTCAGCAAATTTGCAAGTGACAACAAGCTGGAAGGAAGAGTTGATCTGCTTGAGGGTAGGAAGACTCTGCAGAGGTATCTGGACAGGCTTGATTGATGGGCTGAGACCAACTGTATGTGGATCAACAAGGCTAAGCACCAGACCCTGCATTTTGGTCACAACAAGCCCATGCGGCGCTACAGACCTGGGGCAGAGCAGCCGGAGAGCTGCGTGGATCTGGGGGTGCTGGTCGACAGCGGCTGAACACGAGGCAGCTGTGTGCCCAGGTGGCCAAAAAGGCCAGTGACATCCTGGCCTTTTCCAACCATAATGATTCTATGATTCTATGATTCTATGACTTGGCCCCCTTCTATAATCCCAACAGAGAACAGTAATTAGAGAATGACAGTGAGGGAATAATGAACAAGTTCTGTTTCCACATGCAAATGCCTATCATAATTTGATGTTTCATTGTGTTTGTACAGTCAGCAAACCTCTGCTTTGAAGTGATGGTCTGTGGAGATTACAAAAAACTTAACTATTTACACAACTAAAACATAAATACTTCAAAGATCATCTTTTCTTCAAGCTCCTACATATATGAACAAAGACATGCACATCATAATAGAGACCATGGATTCCAAGTATTTGCTTTTTAATCTATTTCAATGTAAAATACACAGAATTTCTACTCCTACTTGAAACTAAGTCCATTCTAATCTGAACTAAGAACRTCCTATATCTTATTATTTAATACTGGCTTCTATCTCAAAACTTTCCTCTGGATGGAAGGCAAGAAGGGGAAATGTATCTCCTACTGAAAAGCTAAAACGATTAAACACATCCCTCTTCCTATTTAGGCGGGATATTCAAGAAGATGCAGAGGGATTTCATTGGCCTGCACAGAAAGACATCRATTTTCTTCGTTTTTTTTTTCAAAACTTCTATCATGAATTCTTCGAGTTAGGATGATTGACCTTGACCTTGAAAGATCATATCAGAGAAGCATACCCAATTTTTGGAGKTTTTTTGTAAACAAAAAAATTCAACCACCTTCTACAGGCCATGCTGTAGACTCCACATGTTTGTATCACTTCACTGAGTAAATACCAGTCCCAGGGAAAGACAGAACTCAGAGGACAAAGCCAACAATTAAAACAGACATAAGTAGTTCTTTGACGAAATACCACACTCGGTCCAGTACATTGATACAATTCTAGATATTCAATACTTCAGGAATGGGAGAATTTTGAGAAATACTGGACAACTATTTAAACACATAAGAAATGCCAATGCACTTTTGAACAGATCAGCTCCAAGCAATTCTATTTAGAAGAAAAAAAAACAAACAAAAATTCCCCCAAAAGTTGCGTTGAAAATTGATTTGTTTCATCAGCTTCCTTCAGGATGAACCCTCTGGATGGCTTTGCTTATTCAAGGCTTCTTTTGGTCTCAGAAATACTGAATGTTCATAGTCAATACTCTTTTTATATCTTAAAACTCAAAATTACTCCAAATAGATGGTGGAGATGAGTAATGGAAGTGGAGAAAGTAATTTCAAAAAAAAAAATTTTTGATAGGGCAAACGCAACAGTCTCTATCATGTCTTAGGTCATTTTCTCTCCCATACTTACTGTAGGACATATATTGACCATGTATCTCTATTCTGCAAGTCTTTCAACGGTGTGAAAAAGCTATGATCCATGCATTTAGCTCTGCTAGAAAGGCTTAAGAAATAATAATGCCTAATCAGGTTTATCCAACTGAACTGAAGAAGAACTGAAGAACTGCATCATAAAGAACCTGAAGAATTCAGAAGAATTGAATCAAGATCTTATACTGGTATGGTAGAGGTGTGTATTTTTATATGAGACAATCTTTATCAATGGGTAGGTTTTCTTTCTTCAAGAGAAAATGGGATGTTACGCTATCAGAGTGGTTTTGTTTCTTTCTTTGCTTCTACTTTTTTTATATAATGCTATGTAGTTTATAGAATATCTAATTCCTTATTACAGGTTTAAAAGAGGAAATCACATTTATGATGCTAACTAGTGAAGGAGAAATGGGCGATGTACACCTTAGGTGCACATGGATGAAAAGAACAGCACACAAGATGATTTTAGCAAATTTTAAATAAAAGAGAAAGAACAGGAACATGCTGTTAAAAATATGCACCTATGGTCTTTAGAGTGCTTTTCAGTACATGAACATACTTTCTAAAAAAAAGTTCATCCTCTGTTTGTGCACTTTTAAACCATGACTGTATTTCACTTTATTTTCTTCCTACAATAAAGAGATAAAGCTTAAATATATCTTTGCCTTGCAATATTTATCACAAGCAAACCAAGTATGTTAAAAGTCTCTATCAAACTACACTTATCAAAAGGTAACATTTCAGAGCAGTATCAATGGAGAGAATTAAACCTTAAAAAATACAATCAGGATTTGCTACTTCAAGCATTAAAAAAGCTGGAATTTCTGACTGTGGCTCACAGGCTATATTTGATTCATTACCTCTATTCCTACCTTAAATCCTTTTTCTCTAATTCTCACTTTTTCTCACATTACATAATTCTGAAGTAACAAAAAGTTTAATTATAAGTTCAATTTCCAACACACAGTATATTGCTAGGGTAGTACAAAGGAGGTAAAATGATGTTTATTTATATTCTCCCTACCTGTTTCTCCCTCCTCCCCTCTCCTTCCCACTCCCAGTAAATTAGGGTAGTAAAGCAGCCCAGTTTTTCCTCTCTCAGATATCCAGGGAAGAAATATTGTGAAGAATCACATTAAAAATGTAACTTGAATCTCTAATCTCTTGTATAGTCAAACATTCTACAGACATTACCCTATGGTTTTACTCTCTGTAGGATAAAGCAAATGGACCTAGATTGGTGGTCTTCTGCTAGTCAGTTCTTAAATTGATGCATTCCTTTGAAATAGTACTCACTGGGGAAGAGAAAGGGGAGAACTATTTTTGAAAAAATAAATTATTCAAATTAATGTAGTGTGCAACAAGGGAAAACTTTTTGAATTATAATGAATATGTGTCTGAGTGTGTATATGTGGGTGTTCAGATTTAATCAGTATGAAATTAATTCAGTCGGCTAGGGAGATAAATAGTGGGAATTAACGGAAGAAAATATGGAAAAAAAAAAAAAAAAAAAAAAGAAGACATGTATTATCCAGAAGCTGTTTTAATTCTGGAATATAATCAACTGGTTGGTATGTTTTCAGCTCTGTCTCAGTGCAAGATTTGATTCTGTTTTGAACTTACACTCAGTTTCAATAAGCAACATTTTTAAGCAAGAATAATTGACGTTGTTTGTAGCATACTTCATCAAAATTAAAAAGTACTTTATTTAAGTTTTTTTTCAGAGCATTCATTCATACTGCTTTCTTCAATATTTTCAATATAATACAAAAATATGAAAACCAAGCTATAAAACACAAGTAGCACTTGTATCCTGTATTATCTTACAGCCAATCCTTTTCACTAGATTTGGCACAGTCTGTTTTAGGGAAGGTTTATCATTCAAATCCACTATCAGCAACATTCTTCTAGTAAAAATAATAAATACTGCATCTGAAATTTGACAATGATTGATGAGGTTTATCTTTAAGTCTTAGACTTAAGATATTTGATGACTCTAAAACTCAAAATATAATGATGTCCAAATAATCTTAAAATGATTTATGTAGCTAACTGCATTAACATTAGCTTTTTGTCACTGAAACTCTTTATTTTTGTCAAAGCCTTGTTTGTAAGCTCCATGGCTTCATCCCATTTGTTTTTCTCTGGATTTGTGTATGTCACCAAGTTCTCAGTATACTGCAAAACAGACTTCAGAAACCTTTAAAAAACAAAAATGAAGAAAAACTTGTTAAAGGATAAATAAAAGAGCACTTAATAACTAAAAGATGTTACTTTTCTTTAAATTTCCGGATCTCCCCCTTGAAGGATCAATGCCATAAATTTTCTTTTACTTTTGGAAAAGAGACTCTCTCACTCTTGCAGCAAAAAGCAGTGATTTTCAGAACTGCAATTAAACACTGCCATACAAACAGTGTGATTATATAATGCGTAACAGAATTTTCCCCAAGTTTTCTTGCCTTGCATAGTCATAAGTTTCACAATGCCTCCAATATCCAACTAGCAATTAACTGTAACACAAGTTAGTCATATATTAAACACAGCTTTTATACATTGATATTATTTGTGTATGTTGATCAATCTTTACTTTTAGCAATAAGGAGTCTAATAAAAAAATGAAAATGTGAACAACTGGACTACACATTTTCAACTAAGGTTTTCTACTTCTTGAACTGCAACAACAAAAAGATGACTGACAAGGTATTCAAAGTTATGCTATTAGACTTTTCTTTATTTTTTTCCCTAAGGGATCTATACCACAGATCAAATTCACTTGAATAGCCATGAAAGTATGTAGAGCTACCTATTTGCATAATGTAAGTTCTATATACTTACTTTAGATACTGCTGATAATCAAAAGCATTCTTCTTATCAACCAGATGGATATTGACTAATTCTAGAGTTACCATCACCAAGATCAGACGTAACACAGGCGACAAAAACTTAATGCTAGAAATAAGCAAAAAATACAAAGAAAATTAATATCATTACTATAAAACACTCTTGGGACTTATGAATCCATTTTAAAAAGCTGCATATCAAATGTGGAAAAAAAGGAAGATCGTTAGAAGTCCACCAGTGAAGAACAGAACTAAAGAAGATAGAGTGCTGACATTAATTTAACATACTGCACTTAGATAAAACTTTAATGGCACTTTTTATGTCTAAATAGGAAAAACTGGAAATTCAAAAATACAGTCTAACATTGAAAGATGTATTTTTATTTAAAAGCTTATACTTTGCAGTGAAGTAGTATAACAACCCACTATTCTCCATCTTGAGAATATTAGTACATAATGAAAATCAGGGTTAACACAAACTCCTACAATTAACCACTGAAAACAGCAAGAAGGGCATGCCACCATCCTCTCACACACCTAGCCACAAAGTAAAGGAAAAACATAATCCAACCTGTTTAACATTCTTAGATAATTCTGCCTCTGGCGAGAACGCAGCGTTTTATTTATCCACTGTTTGTATCTCAACTCAAGGCTTGCAATAACTTGTCCTGACACTTGATGGCACTGTGTGATTATTTTACGGAAAACCACCAGTGTTTCCAGAACAGATCGTGGGGAGTAGAGTGTGCAAATGCGCGTATCACAAAGTTCAGTCAATAGCCTTTAAAACAGGAAATAAATATTAGTTTCAATCTAGCCAGCAAAATATAATGCAAGATGTATTTCATATTCAGTGGGGCAGAATAATAATGTTTTAACTCTGAAAACCTGTAAGCAGATTACTGTTACCTGACAACTCAGAAAAGCAAGATCTGTGTAGTAGGAGAGCAGTGATTCTGTTCTCTATCACTTTACTGAATATAATTACAAAACTGCGGGTAATTAATGCTTCTCATTTCAAATCAAAGAAATACAGTCACAATAAACTGTCTGTCTGAAAAGATACACTGTACATATCAAATCACAGCACAGTTCTGGTTGAACTCTCCCATTATATTTCAATTTACAGATAATTGGCATCCACTAAAATAAAGGGTACTGATTAATACCTCTATTAGTGTGTGGTCTTTCTTCTGGGCACAAGAAGCAAATGACTTAATATTTTGAAAAAAAAAAAAAAAAAAAGCAATTTTTCACTCAGCACATAACGTTACAACTTGTAAAAACACTAAAATACTTTTCTGCAGTCATATTCTAATCTGCTAACATGACGTTGTCACACATCATTTTAAATATGCTGTTCTTAGAAAAGTGTTTTTTTCATTTTCCTCATGCCCAAATTATCCTCAGAACATTAAAAAAAAAAAAAAGAAAAAGAGAATGAGTGATAAGGCAGAAAACTCTAAAAAAATGGTTTTAAGCTTTAGTGATCAGGCTCCTTTTTAATCAATGAGAGAAGTAACAGATTGAGAAGCAGTAAACAGAAGACACCCAAGACTACAAAGCTAAAGGAACAGGCATCCCTGTTTGCACTATCCTGCTCACACCTGATGAAGTTTGATTACAAGAGTTTTCCTCCACCATATTAACTTAGACTCAGATCTCTTAACACTGTCACAAGAGTGCCAATTAAAAGCCCAAATATTTTGATTATTATTACAAATTAAATGTAATTGGAACTACCAATATATTTCTAAGTCTGACAACAAGTATAAACATGGTATTTTCTATTTCAAAATCTTGATATTAAAGTATACAAAGAATGAAATAAGTAGAGYAACATTAATATTTTAAATTTTGTGCATACCTGTGACATCGACTATATATTGAATAAAACAAATCTATGGTGCAGTGTTAGCTCATGAAACAGACTAAAGCTAACAATCTAGCAAGTACAGAAATTACTCRACATATTTAAAATATTTTGCTTCAAATCTGAAAGAAAACTAGGCATTTTTCCCATGCAAATTTCAAAACAGAACTCTTCTGTCACAATGTTCTGAATATATGCTTCATTTTGAAGATGATCTTCAGCTGAATCCATAAAATTTTCAGATTAAAACAAAAGCAAAGTTGGAAAAGTGCAYGCAACTGCTTTAAAGAAACAGTTGGATTGTACATAGAAGATGACAGCAGGAAGGCAGAGCACATTAATCTTACCTGTCTATTTGGTCACTATTCACTGGTTCATCTGAACTGAAGCAACTCCGGGGCACATACTGATGTAATTGAGATAGAATCTCTGATGTTTTTAAAACAAAGGCACTAGCTTCAGCATTTCCTTCAAACCTTGAAACAAAACAAAACAWAACAAACAAAAAAGCTTTGAGATGAAGACAGAGTATAGTGCTTATTACTTGTCTAAATAACACAGATCAAGACGTAAACTTCGGAGCCAGAATTATATTCAATGTTCTGTCTCAGTCTCATTTCAGTTCCTTTCCCTCTATTTTACGAGCATTACTTTCTTTTAACTGAAAATGACCTTCTTTCAATATCAGTTTTCTGAATCATTCTTAATTCTTCACTTGTTCTTCAGAATCCTGAAGCATACTGAGCATGTGCCAAATGCACTGAATTTTCATCTCTCAGCTTATTCGTTTGGCTTCTCAGATGAATTTCTCTTGATGAATATCATTTTCTCCAGTGACATTACTAATGACTTCCTCCTTTTCAAATCACAAGAGAACGTTATATTCTTTTTCTACTATATCTCACATATATATTCYATTGATTTGGCTTACAGGCCCTTTTTTGAACAAGCAACTGTTCTAAATTTCTCATCTGGTAAACCATTCTATTGTCTTTGTGGACAATACTGGCTCTATGTGGACAAATGACTTGAGATCTGATTTAACTGCTTCACAACTCTTTCAGTATCTTTTGAGAAACAGTACATGGAGACAYTGAACTGCTGCATGTTTCAGATGTGTCCTCATTCCTTGTAGTTATTGCAATCCCCTTGGTAGCTATCATCTCCGTAGTAAAGTATGCAAAGAAATGTTTCATTATCCCAGTTTCCATTGTTCAAAATAATTCTCAAAATTATCTTTTTTAATAGCAAACATATACCCTTTTACTGCTTGAATTTGTTCCTCAGGCACTACTGGTAGTTCAGACCATAAGTGAATGCTCTTCATGCATTCCAGCACCTAAGAATTCAAAATGTATCATGAGAAATTTTATGCAATGCGTAGTCATTGACAGTTTGGATAATGTATTTCACTTTTCCTATTATAGGGGATTATTAAAAAAAAATGCAGTTAACAGTAAGCTACCTCTTCCGTAGTCATAAATTCACAGAAGAGCATATATTCAAGTAAGAATAAAACTCTGCATGGATCTACAAAGCACTGCATCAACAGAAGGAATTTAACTAGCTTTACTTTTAACAACACTGAACTATGTAAGATAAAACTTGAAAGTTYATAAAAAAATGTGTAAAACAGAAAGGAAGCTACATTAGAATTCTAAATTTTTAGGACAATCAAAGTACAAAAACAACATTTAGACCAATTTCAAGGATTCACAGACTTGAATGCCTTCAGCTAGAAGTACCTACCTGTTTCTTGACACGGGAAATTGGATGAAACTGAGAACAGTAACAACTTGCACAGTTCATCAGTGGTTTTATGACCACATGTTCCTGATTCACAAGAGAGTAGACAAAAGACATTTCAAAAAAAACAGGTCCTAATGTTAKGCAGACATAGACTTATGCTTAACTTTAAGTAAGGCCCTTAGACAACTGAATTAAGATTTCCAAATGCGTGAGGGATGAAAATATTATTGAGCACAGTGAGAAATTATTACTTTGACACACATACTCTGAAACCTGATAGCAGTAAACACATATTCTCTTAATGCAGCAACATGTAATCTTGAGAAATCAGCAAGAGCTACCCCTAAAAAAGAGAAGTTTTATCGTAAAGTATACTTTAGCATATTGAAAGATAATTGTCAATATTAAAAGGAAATTGGGAGAAGCAAATGTAATAAACACTAATGTTGAGAAACCTTTTGCTAGAAAAACAGAAATTCACATTATTCACACTGCAGACCCAAACCACACATCCATTATTGTACTACTACTATTATTTATCTATCTCAGAGAGAAAAAGAGTCTTAAATATCACATGCCATTACAGCTGAACTGCATATCTGCTGAATTACCAGAAAGGCAAATAGGATAGGTGTAAACACAATTTAAGAAAATTAAGTGGTACCACTATAATCAGTGTTATGAACAAATTAAGTTACAGTAAGAAAAGACAATCTTTAGGAAATCTTCTGCTTAAAATTCACTACAATATTAGAGAAACATACTTTCACAATTTGTACTTGGAGGAACACTATATTTCCACAGAAAGTGACAATCAAGAAAAATGTAGTTGTTAAGATTCACTAAAATCAGATTTGGCATTCAAACCTAGTCATCTAGACAGCATAACATTGATCCTTACCTTAAAAGCAATTACGTCCTCATCAGAAAATCTGCACAGAAGTGTGACTGCAAAAGCAACAATCTGATTGGCAATTTCCCTGGGAAATGTTTTAAGATCAATCTCTCCATGGCTTAAATGATCTCTTATACGTGGACCCTCCTGATGGTTCAAGAAATCCCAAAGAAATTCCTGTGACAACATAGGATGACACAGCGAACTGAACAGAAYACCTTCTGAAATATAAGCATATAATTGTGTCTATAGAAAAAGGGACATTTAGGCAGACAGACTGAAAGAAAGAGCATACTCTGCTTGTAAACAAAAATGGGGGCAACTCTTCCACTTTCACAGCTTCTGGAAAAAAACAGAACTAGCATATAAGGTATTTCATGACAGTTAGCACCTGATAATTTGGGGGTTTTTTTTGTCCCAAATCCTTCCCACTGCCTCTGGTACCTAATGAAGTAAACTCATGTCTTCCCTACCTAATTCCAATGTCCTCAGTTTTCATGCTCCTTATTTGTTTGGGTGGCAAGATGCAGGATGTGCTCTAGGAGGTTTGCAGGTGTGTTTGCTCCATCTATACAGCTGATTTAAGTTGTGTCCCAGAAAAAAATGAGTTTTACTTTTTCCTGAGTATAGCACCAGTTTTTCTTCTACTCTACTCATCTGATTTTCGTGAGTCTAGTGGGAACTGATTTTCGTGAGTCTAGTGGGAATCTCCCTTAGACTTCTATTTTTCAGTTAGATGGATATTCTCAAATCCTAACCCAATATAGCATGGTGTTCTGTACTGCTTTGTATCCTTTGCACTGAGTAAGTTAAGGAGCTTTCAGCTTTAAGTTGCTGGAGAGAAGCAACRTGCACTAAGCAAACTTCAGGCATGATCATAAATATATTGCAAAAAGAAAAACAAATGAACAAACAAAAGCTTTTAAAATACTTGCCATTGCAGGTTCTTCAAGAACTAGAGGAAGCTGATTGATATCTTCATTACTCAAATGTTTTGCTAGCATCTAGAAAAAGTCATTTCAATAAAAAAAAAAAAGCTTACTAATAAGCCAAAAGAATCAAAGGAAAGCCATCACCTTAAGTAGTAAACTTCTCTAATATTAAGCATTTATTTTCCCAACTCCAGAATCAAGGTGTCTACTTATTAGCAACGATTTCAGATAAATCAGAAAAGCCAAAATATAAGAGGATTTCAGCACACAAGCATATTTGCACATCATTTCCAATAACTGAATTGAGGGGAAATGACTGATTTCTTAGTCAGTCATTTCTTAGTCAGTCATATCCTTTTCTCCTTATCAAAGATAAAGATATACAATATTCAAACATTTAGGAGAAATTAAAGTATATTCCTTAAATTTTGTATAGATTTTAGTATTTATTTTCTGGATGATTCCAAATTTAAAACATTTTTACTTCCCATCTTCTTCTATTTGGAAAGAATTTAGAAGTAATGTCTTATTCAACACAATGAGAAAGTGCTTTCTAATCATGAGTAATGAGAAATATGCATATGCCTTAATTCTGATATCAGATTTGAAAAAAGGAAAAGTACCTCATCAAAAGTGGTGTAGAGAGTAGAAGGCTAAAATAGAAGACAATAAATATTAATTATTCTTCAAAAGAAAACAACTAAACTTGTATCTGGAATTGGTATTTAYTCATTTACATCAAAGGAGTTCAAACAGGGAAAACCTTCTTACAAACAAAAAAATTATTGAACTTTTTGCCAAGTTTTAAAAAACAAATTACCTACTTGTCACTGTGAACTAGTGTGACTGGATACTAACCTTCGGGTTCTTTTTTAAGCTTCTTTTACTCTCAGACATCTTTTTTTTTAAAAAAAATAAAAGAAATATTGGTAAAACTCTTCTAAGAATTTGTAAATGATGTCTCCAAAATTCGGGGAGGTAAAAAAAAAAAATAAATAAATAAATAAATAAATATTTAGAAATCGTGCTTCTACAATAACTATTTTGAAGCACTAATTATTAGCCCTATGTTATAACTGACATTACAGAGAAACTTACCTCAGCTGTTAGCAATCGATTTGGACATTTATTCGTAGCAGTGAAGAGCAATCTAAGTCCAGCTTCCAGCTGAGGGAGTAAGAGAATCATAGAGTCAGCATACCTGAAAAATGAGAGAAATACCCAAAAGTTTTTTCCTCCTCTTACAAGTATAATCAACTTTGAAATTAGAACCACCTTAGAGAAACACCATCAGAACATGGAAACTCTCAGGCATACAAGCCAAAGCAAAATCCTTTTGTAATTATTTTTTTATAAAGGAACACTAAATGACTAACTCTGCCCAACAGAAATGGAATCAGCTCACAGGTGATACTACTTTTAAAAGGTGGAATATGGGAAAGGAAGATAATGTAATAAATAYATATTCTTTCAACTCAGTAGATTCATATCTGAATATTTTCCATTTGCTTTATAAAATTCTCCTTATTGGTTTCACCTGCTGCAGTTCCTTTTTGTAGGTTTCAAAATCCACTTCTAGTTGGCACAAAGTATAGAAAATGCAATTCTTCATGAAATGTTCAACCCAGAAAAAAAAGGTAGTACTTGAGTTTGTCATTTTGCTGCATTCTAATATGGAAAAGTTCTCAAAGCAGACACAATAGTTCAAAATAAAACCCTAAGGGTGCTATACGTTGTATACATACACAATATGTCTAAGAACTATATGCTGTTAGGCAATAGACTGAATAAAAATCTTTGAAGTGTACAAATTCTGCTGACTAGTATTTTATAAATAATGGCTTTTATGAGTGAAAATCTTACCAAGCAGAAAAATAAGAGTCTAATTTTTACCTGCCTTGCTTGAAAGCTGTTAAAGCAGCAAGCCAAAATGGCAACATCATTTTTAGAACAAAACTGGACAGTTTCACTAGCTCTTCAGCTAAGGAAAGTGTTTCATGGTTAAGATCTGCAAGTTAACAAAACAATATTAGTAATGTATATATGTACAGTGTATTTATTTATTCTTAACATTTCATTGAAAAGTTATGAGTCTTCTTTTATAAAAGAAGACTTAAAAGGTATCCAATTTAACTATGCAAGTATAATGAAGGTCATACTATGTTTAAAATCATAAACTGAGTGATTTTAATTTTGTTTGAAAAGTATTTTTTGTCAAAATTTAAAACATCAGACAAAAACAAAGCACTTAAAAACCTGTGGCTGCTTATTAGCRGGATTAAAAGATTACACAGCAAGTAGGCCCAACTTCTGTTCAGCTGTTCTCCAACTATTTCAGATAAAATGTAAGATATATTTATCATTTTAATTTGGTGACAATCAGTACACTTGGTAGGAACATTCTGCCATGACCTGCACTGTGCTTTGATGTTACCATGTCATGAAACTCACACACTTAATGTTATAAATATTTTCCAAGGGAGAACTTAAATTTACAAGTGCAATTTAATTGTAGTAGGTATTTTTGGAACAAATAAATAGTTACAGAATTTATAATATATTTGATAATCTGAATATTGTCAGTTTGATTTGGTCCTCAAAAGCCATACCAGTTACACGAACAGGTGTTCCACTGGCAAGTTGCTTAAACACCACAAACTAACTATGAGCACCATTAAGAACAAGACTTCCTATTTGCCTTCTGAAAGGGCATATTAGATAACTTGTATAAACTGTGTGTTCATCATAAAAAAAAAAAAAGGAATATATACATGTGTGTGTATATATATATGTTTCTTTAGGTTTCTACATATCAGAAAGTTGTCCAACAAGCATGATTGTTTCATCTAATAACATTTGCTAAAAGACTCAATTCTAGACCTGTGAAAAATGCATTATGAAATGAAATAACAATGAATGTTGCATAATTAAAACTTGCTAATAGTTAAAAACTTGCCTGGAAATATATTCAGTTCTTGTAAGCTAGTGAAGGTCACATACGGTCGATGTATTAAAATGTGTTTTGTTTGCAGAAGGTATGTCTGTAGCAACTGACCCAATCCTGCAGTTAAAAAAAGCAGCATAGCACAGTATCTAGGGAGAATGCCACAATATATTAGAAAAGCTTATACAACTAAATATTATGCAAAAGATTAGATGTCTGTGGGTAACACACAGATTTTGCCTTTTCAAAGAAAATCAAATGCCTAAGTGCCACTGTGCTTTAGAGTTGAAACCTTTAATAATTACTTTCATAAGCAATGAAAAAAAAACCCAAAATGTGGAATTAGAGTAGAAAGCACCATTGTATTCTGTGTTGGCTGCACCTCTCTTTCTCCTATCCCATTCCTCTGCCTCTTGTTCTCTGCTATTCCCCAGAACCTTAAAATATGAGGAACCAGGTTTCTAAGACCTTCAGCTTTTCGGTTTTCCCATTAGTCAGTTTTATGACAAGTGTGCTTTACCAGTTTTATATGGGCCGACGTACTCTGTGGAAATGTGATTCCAACACAAGCAGAACAGAGGGAAAATATTTAGGGCATAGTCAGAACCCTTTACAAGCTAAGCAAAATACCAACTTTTTTATTATTAATAAAAATATTATATGCATAATTGCTTTTCAATCTCATAATAAAACAAGATTTTGTTGGTAACTTACTTCACAGGAATTTCTTGTGGGGAAGCAAAGCCGTGCCACAAAACATTACGAAGATTCAGACCATAAGGAGATCCAATGAACACCCTCAATACATTCATCTAATTGGTAAACAAAGTGATTATTGCATGAAGAAATGTAATATTTCTTATCATGTATCTTTCYCTGATGGACAATTTTCTGAACATATTGAGAAAATAGTATTATCTTAAAGGGACACTTTCTATTGTCAAGATGATTGATCATGGCTTGCCTCAATTAAAACAATACAATCAGAAAAATCAGTGAAAGTTTTTCAAATATTTTACAGCATTTTACAAACTTCAATACAATGCTTGAAAACCCATCATCTGACAAGAAGAAAAAGAAACTCTAGGTTTACAACTTATTTCAAAACTATAAACTTACTACAGKTTGTCCAAAGATAACTGCAAGCTCCTCAGAAATAAGCAAATCTCTTAGGAGGAAAGGACAATCTTTACCTATCAATAAGTACACCTACAGAATAAAAGCACAAAATAGTTTTATATTAATAAACCAATATATATTTGCAATAAAAAGAAACAAAGGTTGACTATTTTATGAAATAATATGAAGTTTTGTGAAGTCTATAGGACTATATCAAGAATGAGTACAAGAAAAGTAATGCACAATAGTAACATTATTACTGGAATAACTTTACCCTGAAATGATACTCAATTCTTACCCGACTAATCTTTAGGGCTTAAGGAAGGAAGCTTGTGATTTGTTTTCCAAATTTCACTGTGAAACTAGATTTCATCGTAGTTGGGCAGTCTCTGCAATTCTGTMCTGCTCAGCACCTCAATGCTTCAGGTGCTGAAGCTTTCAATTCCATATTTTCCACCCTGACCATTTTTTCCAACCTTTGATAACATTTCATCATTTCAAATTTCATCCTTGGTTAGTCTGGGGCAAATTGGTCTGATTAGATGTGAATTAGCCCATTAGCCCGTTGTCCTCTGCCATTTCCTTCTTAACAGCTCCTCCTAGAGATTTAATAGTGAGCTATTTTATCTGATCCGTTGGCAAAACACTCAGGGGTGAGTCATGAAACTACCTTGCTCCTAGCTTTTCATATATTTGTTCTGATATAACACTTGGGATACAAGCTAATACAGCAGAGAAACTGTGAGGGCTATAGAAAATGTGTGCAAGTCAATGACAGCATGCTACTGAATACTAGGACAGAACAGGCTTATCCCACTTTATCAAAGCAAAATAAAACCTAAAAACTCATTCCCAAACTRCAACAAAATCCTCCTACTGATACTTACATCACCCAATGCTCGCTCCAAGCATGATGTTAGTTTCATTAAACCAAGAGCGATTTCTGTAGTTTGTGTATATTGTAGAACATCAAATACTTCAAGAAATAACTGTATAGTTGAAAGGCAATTAAAAAAAAAAAAAAAGAATGCTATGCTAAATATTTAGAGGGAGAAAAATCACACTATCAAAAACGCACAGAAAACTGACCACAATATTCCTCTGTGGTACTCACTGTACAAATACAGGAAAGGTCACTAATCTAGGACACCTCTTTTATTTTTCACTTTCTAAGTATCTAGTGCCTCACTTTTATTGCAGTTATCAACAATAACTTTACACAATAAAATCTGATATTAGAAAGCTCATTAGGCTTTACAGAAAAAAAAGAAAAAATCCACCCTCCTACAGCAGGCCCGAAACACTTCCCATTCTTTTTGTGATAATGTATATGCAATCTAATTACAAAGTTGAGAAAATAAAGAAGTGACTATACATCAGAGAAGGATAATTAGCTACAAATCCTAAGCATTTTGATTCATTCATCTCTCTTGCAAATTGTCATACTAAACTTTCAAAAGGGAACACATGCCAAAACACTGTCAACAGACACTTCCATACCTCTGTGTAGTTTGTCCACTGGAACCATAACGCATACTGAGCCACAAATTGCTTCTTGGTCATAGATTTGAAATGCAAATTAACAGATTCACAAACTGGTCCTAGTGATCGTATGCTTTTGATATAATCCACAATTTGATCTTAAATTAAAAAACAGAAGGTGATTAGAGGATCAAGCTTCCCAAAGATCCAGTATTTTAAAACTCATAAAAAGCAAAACATGCTACRACCAGTTTATATATCTAGCAAAGTGAATTTTAACCAGATTATTTAACGAGAACAATATACTATACTGCCAGACATTTATATTTACAACCAAAAGAAATTCTTCTGAGTTACTGAATTGTATTGTTTGAATTGGAAACACCTATCATTTTTACTGTCTTTGCAGATTAAGAACAGCATTTGTGTGACGCAATATGGCAAATAAAATTCAGTTTTATCTGAGCAAATATTTTCTGTTTTGATTAAAAAATAATTACAAAACTGTTTTACACACAAAAATGAACCAAACAGAACTTCTGTACTTCTGTAGAAATGACAGTCTGAGAAGCTACAAGGAAAAAAGATGTTTTCAGTGTATTAATCTTAGTGCAAATGAATATAAAGAATACAGAGAAAAGAGCTATGAGGTAGCAGAGGGACAGAACTGAACTCCTTAACTACAGGAACATGGAGCTGGGATCAAAATGAATGAGGAAGCAAAGAAGGTGCTACCCGAGTAGCACAGATTACACAAATCTTAGGAATCAGCAGTAACCAAATATCAGCTACTCATGGATGCAAAGCTTAAAGCTCCCCCTAGATGAGAACTATATATATGCTAATCTGCAGTGAAAATAGTGTTTTACTGTAACAAAATGCCATTACAAAGCTAGGATTGCTACGAACTACTCTAAGATGCTGCATAAGTCTTAGACATATTGTTACCACAAAAGGCAAACACCAACCTGACTCAAGGTAACAGACATGATCTGTAATAGCTTGCCAACATACTTCACCACTTTCAGATACAATATTATTAATATCATAGGTCTCTGTTTTCTCAAATCCAAGTTCACAAATCACATAATGCACAGCAGGAGAAAGGCAAGTAGTGACAGACTCCGATAACGCCATCTGGAACAGGAACAACAGTAAAAAATCTTCGCATTAATAAAGAAATTAATCTTAGAACCAGAAAATGACCTCAGAAACCCAAGAGCACAGATGCACAGAGAGGAACACAGGAGCTGAGCAGCATACATGAGTTTAAGTTCTACAATGCAACTCTCACCTGTGTATACTATGAAAGGAACAGAGCTGAATAGAACAACCTTGTGGAAAATGAGAAGGAAGAGGGAAAGAATTTGTCCACACAAACAAATACAGGGTCACGGATGGTGTATTTCTAAATGCTTACATATGCCAAGCATATACCAGATACATACATACACCAAAAGAGTGAAGCAAAATATTACAGTTCATATATAAGGTTTTGATAACAGTATAGTTTGTCTAGAAATTGATGTTACTGAGAACTTCAACCCTTATATAATCAGCAAAATCTTTGAGAGAAACATGGAAATTCTTTAAGAATGGGAAGTAACTGGAGAACAATACAAATGTAAGTATTGTATGCTGTTAGCCTAAATGGGAAAATGGACTGATTCAGAAGCAAAAATTTAAATCAGAGATTAGCAATAGTTTTAGTATTCATTGTAAAAAGCTACAGAAGCTAACACTAGTTAGTTTGCAAACAGACCCAAATCAGTTAAAAATGTCTACTCCACAATTTGTAATGCTTCCTTGCAGAATTCAGTACAGTGAGGATAACAATTCTTGATCTTTATCAAGATAAACACCTCTAGGTCAAAGAATCTGTAAAGCTTAGAACTGTTCACACTAATGAAGAGGAATAGGGTTTARATTTTGTAATGATAAAGTTATGCTTTTCTACTAATGAAATGGACAAACAATAAATCGTCGAGGAGAGAGGAGCGAAGGGAGGGGAAGAGGGTAGAGAAAGGTCACAACAAATATAAAAGGCATTCATCAAAGTTAAGTAACACAAGAAAATCAAGATTTTTCTCTCTGTAATTAAGGGGATGAGAAGGGTCAGTCATAATTCAGGACATAATTCCTCAATTCACGACTTTGAGGAAAACCTAAATACAGATAACAGCTCTACCGAATTAATTTCTATAAGGAACTGACATTAGGTGCCACAGGATGATAGGTGCCATAAAATAGCAGGCAAAACACTCAGCCACAAGGCGCTCAAGCAGTCAGTCAGTCTCGTTCTGAAACATCCCACGTTACACAGGACAAAGGTTGCCAGAACACGAGAGCAGAATTTTTACTACTATAATAGTCTTTTATTATTTTCTAAATAAATGAGAGCTAAATAGGACAAAGAGGTGGCAGGGAGAGTAGCTCCAGCCTTGCGGTGCCCCGGGGCACAGGCAGAACGGGGCGCAGGCAGAGCGGCCCCGCTCCATTCCGCCAGCACCGGGCCGCCTGGCGGGGCGTCTCCACCTCCTGCCCCCGCACACTGCCGGTGCGGGCAGCGGCAGCGGCAGCTCCAGCCCAACGCCGCAGGGCCGACCAGCGAGCCCGAGACTTTACCCACCCTCCTCACAWCCCCCAACCGCCGCCACGGCGGCCGTTACCTCCCTGCGTCGCTCGTGCGCCGTGACGTCACGCTGCGCACGCGCGGCGTCGCGCCCGGCTCGCGAGGGCGGGGTGCAGGGGTGGGGCGCGAAGGCGGCGGCGGCCGCTGCTGTGACCGCCCGCCCGTCCCGCCCGTCCCTGCGGGCAGCGGCGCTGCCGGCCGGGGCCATGGAGAAGCACGGCAAGGCGGCGAAGCCCCCCGCTCCGGCGGCGGGGAAGCGGCGCCAGCACCCTCACGAGAAAGACAGCGTGAGCCGCTGGAGCGGGATGCGGGGAAAGGGTGGGGCGGTAACGGCCGCAACGGTCGGAGGCGGGAGCGTTGGGGACCCCGCCGCGTTCCCCGCCGCGATCTGCTGACAACTTAGCGACGAGCCGTGTCCAGCTCTGTGCTAGCTACCCTGTCTTCTTTTTATGTGGTGTCACAAACCCTTCTCTCTCGCTCTCTCTTTTTTCCTTTTTTTTTTTTTTTTTTTTTTTTTTTTTTTTTTTTTTTTTTTTCTTTTTGCTATTCTCATCTCTTTCTCTCTTTGGGATGCCTATTTTTGCTTGGCCTGGTTTGGGATCCCTCTACCCTCTTCTGCTTGGCCTGATGTAATGAAGCTAGTGTCCACCTAGGAACTGGTGTGTCGCCTTAAAGCCTCCTCWAGGTAACAAAAAAAGACAAGAATGGTCCCCTGTCTTGCAGCATAGTCTGTCTGAGCTGGGATGGTACTATTGTTTTATAATTTCCCTAACTTAGAAAAGGCATGTTCTCCTTTAAGAATACACTTAAGAAGTGTTTTCTGTAGCTTTTAAACAGCTATTGATTGTTAAAACAAGAATATTGATAAACAGCCCTTATTTCAAATACATAAAGCCTTCTCCAACCAGCACACTTACTTTCATGTCCAAGGTTAGGCCTGTTTACTAGGGTTCACTGAAAGACAAAATACTTGGTCATTTTGTCTTATGTGGGAATCTTTATTGGGTAAAAGATTAAGAAAACTTGCCTTATTGCTAATAAGTAGTAGCATTATATGTAGTGGTGTTGGAAGTAATTTTCTTCCTGCACTAGTTGTGCATTCCGAAGATGTTCGACTTTCCTTTAGCCATGATTACAGAGAATTGCTATTTAGATTGTTCTCACTTTTTGCAGACTGATTTTGACTGAAATGAGCTGGCAGGCTCCTCTGAGCAACTCAGGTGGCAGGTAAAGGCTATAACCTTTATGTGACTGAGCTGCAGTCAGAAGGTATTTAGTATCCATAGCGTAGGTGCATATGTGCTTGTTCCACACATTTTCAGCATACTGTAATGCCATGCCAGCTCTGCACATTCTGAACTGTAGTTAAATACCTGCAGCTGATTTGCTTTAGGGCTCTCAGAATCACCAGCCTGTAACAGAGCTAAGCCTCTGAGATTGGAAGATTTGTGAGCCCCTAGACGATGCCTTTTCTAAAGGCATCTAATTCTAATCTAGTTCTCATTAGATCTTCCCACTTTTGATAGGTGCTTCCTTCCCCCCCCCCATTTACCCTTCAGTATCAGCCTATGCTGTTGCTATCGTCTTTGAGTACCTTAACACCTTTCTGATCTCTTCTGCTCTTCTGGGAAGTAGCTGATTATTCTGCTGTAGTGTGTGTCACAACCTTATTGTTTCCATGTGCTTTTCTGCCTCTTTTTGCTTTGTTATCTTTTTACTATTCTGCTTTAAGTCAGGCCTGGACTGACTTATATATATTATATATATATATTATATATATATATATATATATTGTGTGTGTCACCAGATTTACTGTTTTCATTGATATTACCAGACCAGGTTTTGCTGTGTATATCGAAGAGAATGATATTAAAAATAGGCTGGATGGAGAGCACACTTGAGTCTTCAGAGTTCTGATAACAAATAAAAAATACTTCTACTCTGTACTCCTGGAAATAGGAGTATGTTTATTCTTATTTAAAAATGAACAAACTGAAAGTAATACGTAACATATGGTATTTGTGTATTTGCCTCACAAAGAATGAAAAAAGTAAAACTGCCTAGTATATGAACCAGAAACACTTAACAGTTTCAGACAAGAAACATGTCTTAGTTTCCATAATCCTTTACTTAGAAAATAGGCTGAATACACAGCGCTGGTCTGCAGCACTTGCTCAGCTGAATTAAATTGCAGACTTAATTTAGATTTCAGTGGAGAAGAAACAAAAATGGAACAGCAGTTGAGCTCTGTTCTCATTTTCGCTGCGAGCTGTGGTCTCAAGGCGGAAGAAAAGCCATCCTTCTTGTTTTCAGTTTTTCCACTTTCTTTTGAAAGATATTCCTAGACTTTTCTTTTTTTCTTCTTAGTTATACCACATAATGTATTATTTACAAACTCTAAGTGGTAAATTATTTAGATTTAATGCTGACATTTTTATTATTTTGCACAGATGAAAGAAAAAAGGAAACAATCAAATGAAACTTCAGGTATGGCTCCAGTAGAAGAAGAGTCATTTACAGATTTGACAAAAACTGAACTATTGTCGTTGAAGGCTAACAGGACAAAGATAAGATATGCCAATACATACAGACTGGAGCCATACAATAAATTTCAGGATTATGTAGTAAGAAAGAAAGCTCAAGAGATACTAACGGTATAGTATGATTTTAATGGACTAAATGCTTAATTGCAAAAGTAATTTCTGTCTTGCAAAGACTATATGATAGCACTGTGTGCTAAAATTTAAAAGAACATAAATCTTTACTACATACATACGACATAAATCTTTTTACTACACAAATGCAGTTAAAATTGGTTTTATGCTAAGTAGCCACTAAGCATATGCTGTTAAGATGGGGCTGATGGTTCTTAAGCTTTTGCTCATTTCAAAATAGAGTACAGTACAATCCAAAATATCCTGATCTCCACAGTATCCTGCTCTCTAAATGTTCTGATCTTGAACTTGTGCCACTTCACTCCTTCAAAATTATTGCTAATACCACATAACAGGCAAGATATGCATTTGATGTCCTTGATAGTCTGACTTTTGCATACAAAAGTCAAGTGGAGATGAATGAAATAGAAATAATACATAGTTATTACAGCAGTGCCTTGAAAAGATACCCTGCAGTTCCACAGTCCAGAAGACATTCTTTGGATATGTGGAGCAAGAGTTCATAGCACTCTTTTCCAGTGAATTGAAGCCAGATAAAGAAGAAAAACACATCACTGCTTGTTGAATGGAGATTGACTGTGTATGTTTAAATGTCACTTACTCTAGATTTTTTTATTATTAAAAACAGTGCAAACTTTGCTGTATTAGAATAACATTTGTATTTTGTGGGCCATTCCACCCATTAGTTCTCGATAATGGAAATCACTCTGTAAATTTCTAGCAAAACACTGCCAGGGCGAAAATTAAGATTTTTCAAATTTGTTTTTTATAGAATAAACTTCAAGAAACCAAATATGATGGAGTTTCTAGTCCCTCCTTGTGTGCTTCAATCTCTGAAGAAATACTAACGGCTATTAAAGAATTGGGCTATGACCGTTACAAGTACGTCGTGTCAGTTCTAATTGTGGAAAAGGCTGGTCAGGCAATAAATGTGAGCAAACAAATTATTTATAATATTTTTTGCAATTGAAAGCATTTTTTAACTCTATTTTCTCTCTTAGGTATGCATTCACATTCAGTCCACATTTATCATTTAGGTGGGAGTGATCTTGAAGCCTTTATGATTGCTTATGGGGAGAAATCTGCTACATGACGGTTGAAGGGGCTGCTCTGCCTTGGGGAGGTTGTGGATTTTGAGCTAAGCAACCCTGCTACTATCTTTTCAAACAGTTATTTCACCTGGGAACTCTGCCAGCGCAATTACCTGACTATAATGTTTCCATTTTTTTTTTCTTTTCTTCAAGAGGACTTTCATTTCTAGTCAGTTTAGCCCATAGCAGTGCAAAATGTTACAGGGGTGACATGGCGAGGGAATGGGAGGCAAGGAAAGGGATGGAAACACTGTTTCAACTGTAGCTGACACTAAATCACCACTTTCACATCTACAGCCTATATATTCTGAACATAGGACACCCAAAACAAAGTGATTTTCCTGCACTATTTCTAAATTTAAATGTATAATAAGCTCCTTTTGGCCTTCAACATACCTTGTGATATATTGCTGACCATTAGAGAACAACTCTAGTTTGGGGTGTTCATTTGTCATCAGCTCTTAAAACCTCATATCCCACTGAAGTGGAATCACACTTTGTTGTTAATGTGACCAATGTATAGGGGAGCTGGAAATCTTTGTGGGTTTTGGTTTTAGTTGAATAGTAGTAGTTTTCCTTGCAGCTTTAGTGATAGAGTGTGGGCATGCAGTTACACTCAAATCACTCAACCTAAGGCATGTTAAGGTGAAGGCGAACAGAAGTGGTGTGTGAGGTGGCTACAGCCACCTGCTCTCAGCGGTCAATTCACACTTAACCTTTGAATCCAGCTTCCCAAGCAGTGGGAAGGCTACTGAAGGGTTGCAAATAGCCGGCAGTTAGCASGAAGTAGGTAGGGGGACCTGCAGAGGAGGTAGGAGTGGGGATGTGACTTCTTAGGTTTGCTGTCAAAATTGATGCCTAATTGRATTATTTTGTAGGGGTACTGTGCATATTAGAAGTGCTAAAAAGTGAACTTGTGAATTAAGGTTTTGATGCAGATTTTGGGATTCAACAGAATTGGGGAGAGGCTTTGCTGTGAAGCAAAAATRTATTTTAATATCACATAACACTCATTCTCTCTGTAATTTTGCAGTTGTTTTTACTAATTGTAACTCACAATGCATCTGTAAAATGTTGTATGTTCTTTTAAAAATGTAAACTTGTTCTATATAGGTTTACAAATAGCTTGTTCTTTTCTTTCTTTTAGGTTGCCAGCAGATGGGTCTGGGATGTTCAGAGAGACACTTGGGTTTCAGCTAAATGTGAAACTGAAACCTTTATTGCACTGGCTTTGATAATGGCTTGTTATTATGAGTAATATTCTAAAAGACACCCCTATTTTTGAGTATCACAGTACTTGGCATATTTGAAAATATTCAAAATATCAATATTTTACCCATGAATTTTGAGGCTAACACTGCTAGAACACTGAAGTTGACATATTTCAGCTAATTTTACCTATTCTTTTATTTAAGAAAAAAAAATTGTGAAATATCTTAGTTAAATACATATCGGCTTCATCTGCTATAACTCTCTTGTTTTGGACATTAAAGCAAGTGTTATAAAAAAAAACTTGCAAAATATTCCGTATTACTTTCTAGTGCATGCCTGGACTTGCTAGGAAATGTATTTACAGGAAACTGAGAGTATCATTTTTGTTTAAAAGTTTGTACTTTGTTGGCATTGCAAGAGAAAGCAGTATTTGATTTGTTTTTATTCTAGTAATGCTAGAATATCACAACTTAAGAACACGTAGAAACAGCAAAATGGGAAGCCATCTTTATCAGCTATCTTTAACATTTTTAAGTCTTTACAGAATATTGCAGAATATTTTCCTCCTATCTGTTATTTTTTAATAGCTAATCACCCTTAGGAGGTTTTGCACAAATATTAATCTGAACAGAACGAGAGCTTAATCATTAGGTTCTTTGTGCCCAAAACTTGCATTAAACGTTGACTCTGTGTTCAGACTGCTGACAGAAATGCTGGAATCTGCCACTTTGATCCATTCACTAGCCTGGCTTCTAATGGCATGGGCGGAGAGATGTAAATATGTCGGTAACAAGACAATGGAAAATCGCTGCACAACCAGCAAGCACAGCAGTGATCATATTTTGAAAAGCCACTGTGACACATCCATATGGTGTTAGACTTTGAATGTTAGAACTGGAAATGGAGCATCACTGTCACTTTCCAATTGCATTGTTTTAGAGACGGAAAGGAAATATATGTAGGAGTAGAGATAAMTGCCTGGTGGGCTGATACCGTCAGACTGTATTTTACAATTTTATGGAGGCAAAAGGCATGGGATTCTCTGCAGAACCTTCATGGGAGTTGGAGAAAGCAGCTTGCAGGAAACAAAAGTGTTTCGTGGCATCTGCTGCTCTTCTGGGGGACATCCTGCCCCACGGCTGCTTTTGGGGATTCTTGGCATGTCTGTGTGTTTGTAGGGGGATAATGCGTGTGTAGGAACATGAGGAGCGTTAAAGGGGTGATGGGTGTAGGGGGGTGACATCTGTAGGGCAGTGGTGTGTGTATAGGGGTGTGATGGGTGTATGGTGTGGGGTGTGTGTGTGTGTGTAGGGGGTGATGGGTGTAGGGGTGGGTGTGTAGGGGGGGTGATGAGGGTGAGGGGTGGGGTGGGTGTGTAGGGGGGGTGATGGGTGTAGCGGAGTGGTGTATGTGTAGGGAGTGATGGGTGAGGGAGGTGCAGGGGGGTGATGGGTGTGGAGGGTGGTGTGGGTGTCTGTGTGCAGGTGATGGGTGTAGGGTGTGTGTGTGTGGGGGTGATGGGTGCAGGGGGTGGGGTGTTTGTGTACAGGGGTGCTGGTGTAGGGGGTGAGGTGTGTGTGCGCAGGGGGGTGATGGGTGTAGGAGGCATGTGCATGTGTAGGGGGGGTGTCTGTAGGAGGTGGTGTG